CCCCAAAACCCCAAAACCCCAAAACCCCAAAACCCCACAGGACCATGAGTAAATTGAAATATTTCTAACCAATCTGAATTAATGGGACTTCCTAATACACAAATCTTTGTGTCAAAATGAACCTGTTAGAATTTTGTTGTCTGATACTGATCCCCGCTTGTAACATAATAATTTTTATCTACATTTCGAACAATTTTAGTTAGTATTTGATGCAATAGTATAAAAATCCTCTACTTAGCTCACCAAAGTAATATTTAGTAATTAAAATGGCATAAGAGAAATGTAAATAAACCCTTCCTCCAGCAGCACCCAGATCTCCAACCCCGTTCATCTTGGCCCCAAAACACTCCAAAACCCAAGCCCGAAGGAATAATAAACATTTTATTGCTTTCATAGTGTTATGAGTAAATTAATAGACTTGAATTAATTATAGACTAATCAAAGTCCTTCTCGATCTCATTGAGAGAGTCAACGATCTCGATCATTTTCCAGGAGAACTTCTGAGGCATCTTCTCATTCTTACTAAGTTTAGTATCACCGTCAAGGGCACTCGGAACTTTCTTGGTTGAACAGACCTTCTTCCTTCCTGATTTTTTACATCTTTTAGAAGATTTTTGACGTTTGGATTTGGAAATATTAGAAGTCGAGCTACTCAAATGCCCACTGTTGCCTGTCGAGGGGATACTAGGAGATAGCATTTGCTTCTCATTCTTAGTTTTGTTGTGTTTTTCAAAAGCCAGATAGAAGGTATTGAACTCATTGTCACTGATAGACAGCTTCCTATCCTTCTTCCTCCTCTTTTTTGTGGATAGTACTCGTGTCGCTTCCGATAAGTTCGACGAGATGAAAAATTTTTGATCTTTCGATTTTAGAGCGCTGCACGATGCTGTATCATGACTGGAAGTAGGAATATTAGTATTGGAATTTGATTTGGCTTCAAATTTTGGATTCCTACAGAAATTATCGGCAATTTCATGGCTATCCACATTCTGCAATGGAAGGTTTTGATGTACATTCTGAGAATTAGAAGATTTCTTTCTAAAATTTTGCTCGACAGGGAGGCAAGGATTCAGACTTAATCTGAGGAAAGATTTTTCTTCTTTAAGTTCTTCCTGCTCAGGAGCTTCATCATATGTCTTAAAGGCGAAGTTCTTAAAACTTTTAGTATAGCCAGCCTTTTCGTCATCTAATTTAATACTCATCTCTTTTTCCGAAATATTTTCTATTAGCTTCTGCTGAAAATCAGAAGTGGTTTGACAAGTTCTGAATCTGGCCCTTTTCTTAAACCCCGTATTTATAGGACAGACGATATCTTGGGTCAACTTTCTTGGACCCTCCTTAGCTTTGAAATCCAAGGTGTTCTCGATCTCAAGTAGCTTAGAAGAGAGCTCGCTGATGTGCTTTGACTCTTTTCTCTTAACCTTTCTTCTTTTCTTTGTTCTCTTCAAAAATCTTTTCCTTTTTGAATTACCGCCTATGATGAAAGTTAGAAATAAAGACTTTAGAGTTAACCAAAATTTGGAACATGACAGTTAAAAGATCTTTTCTGAACTATTTAACCTAATCTCCTAATAACCCAAAACATGCTTACCTTTATTTAGCTTTTTCTTGATTTTCTGGATGGGTTCTGCAACTTTCTGATCTTCTTCATAATTTCTGAGGTTAAACAAATTCTCTCCGAGGTTTATTAAATAGTCTTCAGCTGCAATCATGAGGTCAAATTTTGGCACAAATTTGCTACATTTAGTCTCTTTTTCCGAGTCTTCCTCTCTACGTTTGAAGGTCGAAGAGAAGTAATCATCAAAGCTGGAGTAATTGAACTCTTCTCTTAAAGATTTTCTTGGGCAAGGATTGTATCTTAGGCTTAAGATTTGGTTCACCGCTTGATTTAGGGGACTATCTTGGGATTCACTCAAATCTGGCTGATTTCATTGTTCGATTGAGGGAAATTCTTGTAAGGCAGGTTTCTTTAGGGTAATAATTCCTCTTTTTGAGCCACTATCTGGGCTAACAGACTCATTACTTGAGGACCCAGACTCATGAGGGCTTTTCTCATCCTTCTCACAATCTTCTTCGATTAAGCTAAGTAGACTCTCTCTTAACTTATATTTAGTTGGTGAAGAACTGTCAGTAATAGAAGACAGATTTGAGCCAGATTTAAGCCGCTTTGCAGGACTTATACTTCTTCCAAGTTTTATGTCATGTTTCTTGGTGGCAAGATTTCTAGGATGCACTCTGGTAGGGATCTCAATCATGTTCAGTAAATTGTTCCGAATACTAGCTTCCATTTTGAAGGACTTATGAATATTTATTATATTATCTACCCACTCCACCAAGTAAAATAGCTGAGGGGTTTTGGGGTTTTGGGGTTTTGGGGTTTTGGGG